GACATATATCACTCATTTCAAAAACTCTTCTCCAGTGTCTAAGGATAAATGAGCCCTTGCAAACTGAACAATTAAGTGAGACCAAAAGACAGAGGTTGGCTTCAACTTCTATATAATCTGGTCAAAAGAACAATTATCTACTGCAAATCCCCACTCATAAAGATTAAACAGCACATCTAGCCTTATGGCTCCCTGCTATTAAATCAGGTCCTTTAGGCTACAAATCATGCCACTGAGACAGAATTTAATGCAATAATAATGTACTAATTTGATTTGGCTTACTGATTCTACATAAAATCAGCCAAACTTGGGTGGAAAGCAAGTGGGTAAAGCATTAAAACATAAATCTCTAAGATCCTATCCACCTCTAACATTCAAAGAAATGACTGCTTCAAAGGGGCCTCAAAGCAAAGTCTAAAGGCAATGGAAAGGTGAATGAATGATCAGGGGAATGAAAACAGAATTAGTTTGTGCATAAGATTTTTCTTTTCATTTATTTATTTTATTTATTTATTTTTGCCCAGGCTGAACTGCAATGGTGTGATCTTCGCTCACTGCAACCTCCGCCTCCCGGGTTCAAGCGATTCTCCTGCTTCAGCCTCCCAAGTAGCTCGGATTACAGGCATGCGCCATCACACCGGGCTAATTTTGTATTTTTAGTAGAGACGGGGGTTTCTCCATGTTGGTCAGGCTGGTCTCGAACCCCCGACCTCCGGTGATCCTCCCGCCTCGACCTCCCAAAGTGCTGGGATTACAGGCGTGAGCCACCGTGCCTGGCCATAATTTTTAAACATTTTTCTTTTGGCACCTGTCCGGACCATGGATTTAAATGATCTACTAACATAAGAACCCAACGGGGATACTTCCAGTGACTAATTAAAAGAGACAAATGAATATACAGGTGGCCCAAAATGATTTTATAAAGCCCTCTAACAACCTCACTTCTTTTCAGAGTGCCAAAGAATTTGGCTCATTTAAGGTGTTCATTTTTCAAAAAATGGGTATACAAATGCAAACTTTATTCAAATCAAACCTTACCTTACGCTTGTTAAATGCCATGTTTAGCATAACTCAAGGCTTATACCAATTGTTGTTTTAAAAAATTACATAGTGTTTTAAGTATTTTTACATCTTAAATACGAAGGAATAATTCTAATTGTGGAATCAGAGCTGTCCTCCTAAGACAAAAAGACAAAGACAAATATCACAATTAACTATTAACTCGAGAAACAACTTTTCAAACGTCCCTGTAACAACTGTATGTGTTTGACAGCATAACCAAACTCATTAAGAACAGTATGAAAAACATCACTATTACCTAGTTCTCACACACAAATTAAACTATCGAAACCTGTATCTGAATATAAGAGGTATTAAGAATCTGCTTTTGAAAAAGAAGTGAATAGCTGAAGGTCATTTTCTTTTCAGCCTTTTCTCATACTGATAATCACTGTTAATATCCACTTAAAAAATCGCCTATATCAGGCACCCGGGAATTGCTTAACAAAAGCCACTTAATGAAACCACAGTTCAGACACACGAAAAAAAAAAAAACTTAACTGCATAGAAAATATTTATGAGTTTACTTTCCTAACTCATACAATTGCGTCCTTGTTTCCAAAGCCTTGCAATTCACATCAGCGGGAACAAAAAAATCTCACACACAGCAGAAAGTTGGCTCTGTAAAAGAAAGCACTGAGGTTTTTTTTTTCTTTTTTAAGCAATGAAAGACCAAAACCTCTTTCTTTTAAAAAGATCTTAAAAGTTCCTCCTCCAGAGAAGACAGAAAACACTGACAAACCGCACGTTGTGCAGATGTTCAGCCGCGAAATGCAGCCTCGCAGCCCTTCACTCCGCAGTCCACCGGTTGCATCTACACCTCCAAGCAGCGCTCCTGCAGGGCGCAAACACCCAGGGACCCAGGGACCCGGCAGCCCCGCGCGGGCCTCCCGCGTGCACTTCTCAGCGAGAGGGTCTTTCGCAGACGGCGGGATGCCCCAGGAGACCGCGAGGCCGGCGCAACGCGGCGAGCTCCCGGGGGGAAGGCGGCGAGCCAGAAAGGATCGGACCCCAGCAATGGCTCCGGGCCGGCCCCGCGCGGTCGCCTCCTCCCACTCCGCCGCCGGCACCCAACTAGCCAGTGCTGAACTTCCCAAGGGGGAAGGACCGAGTCACTGCACCCTCCGCAAGGTCGCGCACTCATCGGTTTTCGGCAGCGCCGGAGCCCGAGCCGGGGACCGGGCGGGCACCCACAGAGCCCGCACCGCAGCGGGCTCCACGCCCTCGCCCCCGCGCCCCAGCGAACTTACCGCAAAGTTGGTCGAAGTGGCGACGGCACTCTGGGGGAGCTCACCTGCCGTCTCAGCGCGCCCCCGGGTGGGGACCGGGCCTGCCGGGGGTCTTGCCGGGCTCGCGCGCCCGCATGGTACCTGCCGCGCGCCCCGCTCCCGCGCCGGCTCCCCGCGCTCGCGCCCGGCCGCCCAGCTCGGCGCCGGCGCCTCACGCTCTCCGAGTGCAGGAGATCCCTCCGCCCCGGCCACGCCCGCCGGCGCCGGCGCTCGTTTCTCGGGCGCGGAAACTCCTGCCGACTTTCCCCGGCGGCAGGCTCGGGGCCCGCGGGTCCTGCCACGCCGCCCCTCCCGGGCCCGAAGAGCCCCAGACCCTGCGAACGCCAGCTCCGTGCTGGGAGACAAGAAGGCGCCCAGCGTGGTCTAGCGCGGCTCCGAGGGGCAGGGCGAGGCTTGTGATGCCGAGGTTAGTTACGGCCAACCATAGGCGCTGTGCAAGGAATTGGGGAATACTCCCTGCCTAGAAAGGGAAACGTTAGCTAAGCTCAAAAAAAAAAAAAAAAAGCTGGGGCCTAATGAGAAAGCTTCCTAGAGGCATCCCTTGAGCTTTTCCATAGCCTTCTGGAAGTCCCTGAATCTGCATTTGAATGGCGCGGCTCCGAGTCCGCGACGGTTTGGTGGGCTGAAGCCGTCCTCCAGGTCTCCAAAGGAATGCAGCTAGGTCGGAATCTACTTCCTCCTTCAATCCACACTGAGTCCCCAGAAAATGGAAACGCTTCCCCCGCGACCTTTTTGAGCCGGGTTAGACCCCAGGCCCTCTCCGCCGCCGGCGCCTGGCCTCCCCCGCTGACACCCCGGACGCCCAGGCCTGCGGGACAAAAGGCAGCCGCGGCGTCCCGCGGGCTTCCTAGCCCGGGAGTCGGCCCCAGGGGCCCCGGAGCGTGACCCCAGGCCGACAACTGCAAGTTCCTAGGCAGAGGGGAAGCCCCAGCGCCCAGACGCCCGCTCCGAGAACTCCCCGCGCCGGGCGCCCAGCCTGAGCGTCCCGGGCGCGGAACCCATCCCCGGCGCGGGCAGAGCTCCAGCCGCAGGCTCGGCGCAGGGCGGGCTCGGCCGAAGCCCGGAGAGCCGGCGGCGCTGGGACGCAGCCCGGACTAGAGGGCGGACTTGACCTCGGAAAGTTTGTGGGATTCAGGCATTTTAACACTGGGAAGACAAAGAGATCGGATTTCCCTGGGACCGGTGGAGGGAGCTTGGCGGGGAGGGGAACGGCTGGGCAGTCAAGTGTGAAAGAATTTCCTTGCTTCAAAGTTAACGCAGTCACCTTATAAGCCATCTTAGAGGTGACCGGAAAAAAATAATAATAAAGGTGTCTAGCAGGTTATGGCTGGGAAGGAAAAATAAAGCCTGCAAGATGAGTGTGCCGATTCGTAGCCCTATATTCCCTGCCCACCAGTTAGAATACACAGATTCGCGCATCCAGCAAATGCAAACACCATCATCCAAAGACGTGTTTGCCACGGCCATAATTGCTCCAAGTGCTTACAGGTCAGTTTCATACATGGAACACCTCGAAAGTGGGTGACCTGATCTCCAAGCCCAACCGGCTTGTGCCGCTTGCCGAATTGTAACTCTCAGCAAAACCCAACCACACCGGAACTCCAGCCGTTTCCTGGGAGCGAGGGAGCGGGAGTAGTGCTAAAAGGGGAAAAGAAGAACAGTAAAAAAGTACAAAGATACCATTCCCTGACATAAAATCACGGGATTTGTTTTAAATGGCACAAAAGAATTCCTGGAGAAGATGACCATTAATTAATAAATAATAACGCTTCCTAGGGCTTACTAGATGTTTTACATGTTTGGGAATCCCGATTTTCCAGGCTCCCTGAGAAATCTCTGCCTGGAAGAAGTTGCACTTCGTCGCCACAGGAGCCGCCGAGAGCCAGGGATGGAGATTTCAGACTTAAGACTCAGCCACGATTCTACTGATCCTTAAGCGCCAGCAGAACGAAATGGACATGCCTATTAGCTATCACAAATCGAATTATTTTCATATGAGAGAGAGAAATGTGGTTCAAGTTCCACATTTGTCCTTTAAATAATCGACCCTCCCTAACCCTGTTCCCAAAGGCTCGTGGAAATTAGGGAGGGGATTGGGGAGGCGGTTCCAGAAACAAAACGCTTTCCTCCAGCACGGCCTCTCCATCCAGTCCACCCAAGTTGATTTTTGTAACTCATATAAAGAATGGGCCCGGGTGGGTGGGCAGTGAAGACTGGGGTGAGCAAGCGCCCACGTCGCCGAGCGCCGGGGAGGTCCAGGTTCGCCTCCGCGCAGAACCCGGCAATGAGCGCGCCTCGCCAGGTGGCAAGACTAGAGGGCGCTGCGCCCCTGCAAATCTCGCAGCCCCGATGCGCCCTCCCTAGGCACCATTGCTATAATAAGTTACATTCAAAATAATGCACAAACAGCATCGCCTCTCAAGTTCTTTTGAACAGTGCTCTATATGTATTTTATGAATTCCCAAAGCTATGCATACGAATCTTTCATCGCCGAGCCGCACAGTGCCAGAGGGATGCGCAGCTCCTGGAGCCGAGAACCCGTAGGGCGCACACGCTTCCCCGCACTCGCTTAGAGCCACACACCCCACGTAATTTCATTTATGTTTAAACTTAAATGCCAAAAGGCATGCACAATTTGAACAAAGAACTCACCAGTCTAGCCGAGTCCTGGGCCCTGGGCTCTAAAGTCCCCGGCAGCTCCGTGATCCCCACGCGATGTGGATATGTGTTAGGAGCCGGGTTTGAAGTACCAAGTTTGCCTCCCCGGGATCTTCAACATGTCCCTAACCAGACTGCCATCGTCCGTGCCGCCGGGACCCAGGCGGCCGCATCTCCGGAGGCTTCCGACCAGGGCAAACTTAAGCACCAAACGGAGGCGAAAAGAGAGTGCGCGGGGCCGGAGCGAGGGCCCGGGAGCAACCAAGTTTGTCAGGACGTGCCCGGGCAGCCAGCCGCCGAGTTGAGGAGTTGCGGCCGGCGGCTGCGGCGACTCGCTGCCTCTTTCCCCGCTCCCTCCCTCTTGGAGGCGGTGGGGGAGGGGAGGTGACGTCAGCGCCCCGCCTCGCCCCCCGCCCCGGGCGCGGACGGGATTCTCCGGCTGGGCGCGCCACCCCGGCAGTCGCAGCAGCGGGCGCGGCGGCTGCGTGGGGTCCCGGTCTCTGCGGTCTCTCTGGCCCGCTGCAGCTGTGGCGCGGGTGAAACGCCTGCCCTCCTCCTTCGGCAGCGTCTCCTAGGCGCCGGCGAGCGCGGGCGTTCCTCGCACTCAGCGCCTGAGCCGCCCGGAGCCCCGCTGCGCGCACCTCCCCGGCTCGCGGAGCCCCTCCGGCGGCGTTTCCCACGCCGCGGACTGCAGGTGATGCTCTTCCTCTTCTGCAGCTGAAATTCGTCGCGACGTGTCGCCTGCCAGATTTTTGCTGGGCGGAAGCATGAACAGTCTCTGCAGACTGGCCTGGACGACTTGTACTTTGTGGCCCTCCAACTTCTGGATGTGAAAATTTTTTTCACGACTTACGGTCTTCGTGGTCTTTGTGTTGATAATCAGAGCCTTATTTTTGTTTTCAAATTCTTTCCCAATGCTCCTCTTGCCTTGACCGTACTCTGAAGCTTATAAGGTTCTGAGAGGAGGGGGCGAAAGGATAGGGGAGGAGCCAATTCCCAACGTATCTTACAAGTCTTCTGTAGTGATAGGGGCTAATACACAAATCACTGTGTCCTCCTCGAAATAACATCCATTTAGATAAGTGCAAAGGCTGTCGAGGGTTAATTTATAAAGGATGCGTCGTCTTTATGTAAGTGTCCAGCCTCCAGGAAAATATCTGCTGTGGAATATATTTTTAATGCCACTAAAGTACCAAAATACCTCCTGAACAGCGTGAAATTCCGAGGGAGCCATTTCTGTGAGTTGACATTGTCCCCAGAAGATTGTCATTAAAATTCAAGATCCCTGCGGTTGGGGGAGGTTCTATCAATATATTTGCATCCGTTGGTATAAATATGTTGATCAGTTTAGCTGGTCGTTCTTTTTCAAAAGTCAAGAGCAAAATCCTGAGGACAGAGGAAACTGGGCAGGGAGCTAAACAGTAAGGAGAGAACAAGATTAGGTGACTGGAATGTTGTGTGTGTTTAGCCTTGAAGTCATAACTTGTCTAAATGTCAGTGTCCTCATCTGTGATATGGGACTAATATCTGCTTCTTGTGGTAAAAATGTATTCATGTGTTTATCCATTAAAAAAAAAAAATACTGAACTCTACTTGCCAGGGAGATAACAGTTATTCATGCAGGCAAAGCATTTTTACTGAGCATCATATGAAGTGTCTAGCACGCACATACTAGGCACTTAAACAATATTCGTTTTCCTGCTCTCCCTCGCTCCCTTCTCTCACTTCTTTGCAGTGTCTCAGTTTTTAATCCATAAAATCAGCATCATCACCGTGATTCGGGATTCTGCCAGGCAGGTCTGCAAACTCAAGTCAGGTCTCCTGTGCTCAAGAGATCCTCCTGCCTAAGCCTCTCCCTCAAGATACATTTTGATTTGGAAGGGAGGAGAGGGTCCAGGGAGCTAGGACATGGAGGGATGTAGGAAGGGATATTAGAGCTCCTGCAGACCCCGGGGGCAGCTAGAGGGTGCTAGATTCCTGAGGAGGGAGGAGGCTGGCTTGAGAGGCCAGCTTGTCAGTGCCCAGCAGACTTCTCCTGCTTCCCTGTTTCAACTGCACAGGCTCTCTCCTTTTGTGTCAATAGTTGAAATTAGAAATTGACCACATATTGCAAGTCCTCAAAATGATTCACAATAAATTCACCCCCAGAGGCTTCTGGTTGAAGTCCATTTGGTTTACTATACTAACTTTAAAATTGCCATAAATAAACCAAATTATTTATATTCAAAAAGATAAAAATCACAAATGACAGGAACTTATGAATAACAATTGATAATATTAGTCAAAATAGCTAGTTTTCAAAGTGAGATGGGCAGAAAACTTTTAAAATCTCTAGAGCTGTGCTGTCTAATGTAGTATGTAGCCACTTGCCACATGTGGCTTCTTTCATTTAAGCTAAATTAAAATGTAATTCCTTAGTCTCACTAGCTACATTCCAAGTTTCAGTGACCATGTGTGGCTAGTGACTATTGTATTGATCGGAGCAGATGAAAGAATATTTTCATCATGACAGAGTTGTATGGACACTTTGGTGTAGACCTTTAAAAACGCTGCTATTTTATGGAAGGCTATACCAAGTATTAAAATTCCAGTGTGTCCAATACTGAGTCACTTCTGAAGTATAAGGGAGGACCCAGAATCATGGAAGGGTTAATTCATTCCACAGATATTTATCAAGTACCAACAATATGCTGGGTGAAAGTATGTAAGACCAAGATTTAATGAGGTAGGTGTGTTTAGCGATTAAGAAATATTAACATGGCCTTTTAGTTGTTTTCTCTCTTTGCTGACTAATAAAACCAGGGGAAATCATAGATTTAAAGCAAGAAACAATTCTAAGACATTTTTTGGAATAGCCCGAGGACCAAATACTTGTAAGTACGCTTGACTGACTCCTGGCATCCCAGCCTCTCTGCAGCTTTCACCGCTTACTCATGTGCCTGCGTGCCCATTGCGGCTTCCCCTTCCTGGAGGTGAGAGGAAGTAGCAGCCCTCTCCACCTCCCGTATGCCTTGGAATTATTTTACCCTTTGCATTCAAATACAGCTCTTCTCTGGAATCAGCTTGTACTCTCAGAGGGAGCCATTAGAACATTAGACACCTGGCTGGGCGCCGTGGCTCACGCCTGTAATCCCAACACTTTGGGAGGCGGAGGCAGGTGGATCACCTGATGTAAAGAGTTTGATACCAGCCTGGCCAATATGGTGAAACCCTGTCTCTACTAAAAATAAAAAAATTAGCCGGGCATGGTGGTGGGTGCCTGTAATCCCAGCTACTCAGGAGGCTGAGGCAGGAGAATCACTCGAATCGGGAGGTTCAAGTTGCAGTGAGGCGGAGGTTGCAGTGAGCTGAGATTGGGTCTCTGCACTCCAGCCTAGTGACAGAGCAAGACTCCATCTCAAAAAACAAAAAACAAAAAAAAAAACCATAGACACCTAGTCAATCTAATGGGAATCAGTGCTGGTTAACTATGGGTATGAGTATGTTATGATAATACCATTCCTTCCTTCCCAGTGCATTATAGCAAGGGCTTTCTCAAAGCTATACTTAAAACATGAAATTTCTGATGCCATAAACAGTCACTTGGGAAAGTATTTGAAGGCATTACAAATCACCTACTAATGGCTAACCATTTTTTAAAAATGGTACAAAGTATACTTTCATTTTAAAGAAAGATCCATTGTGGAGTAGGGTGGCTGTAGACATTCTGTCCCTCAAATATAAGATAAACATCCCCAAGTGGTTTGGGAACAGATCTTGCAAGATAAATATAATTTTTGGGATGCTTTCCCAGCTCAGTGATTGAAGGATTCTGAGTCTAACTTTTTGAATAGTAGACAACAAGTTGTCCAGCAACTTACTGTTGAAGCTACTTTCTCAATAGAAGTATGCAGTAGAAAGAGCATTAGACTTGAGGTTAGAAAACCTGTTTTGAATCTTGTCTTTGACATATATAGTTTGAATTTATTTGGTTATAACTGAATTTTGGGAGTCTCACTTTCCTCTATAAAGATAGATCTCTAAAATGGACACACACACACACACACACACAAAATCTACCTCACTGGTTGTGAGAGATGCCAGTCAAGAATAATTGTGGCCGAACACAGTGGCTCACACCTGTAATCCCAGCACTTTGGGAGGCTGAGGCGGGTGGATCACCTGAGGTCAGGAGTTCAAGACCAGTCTGGCCAACATGGCAAAACCCTGTCTCTACTAAAAACACAAAAATTAGCTGGGCATGGTGGTGTGTGCCTATAATCCCAGCTACTCAGGAGGCTGAGGCAGGAGAATCCCTTGAACCCAGGAGGCAGAGGTTGCAGTGAGCTGAGATTGTGCCATTGCACTCCAACCTGGGCGACAAGAGCGAAACTCCGTCTTAAAAAAAAAAAAAAAGAATTGGACTACAATATCATTATTCTCCTCAAATTTACCTACTGTGTCTCACCATGCCACTCCCATCTCAGCTATGAAGGTCTGTAGAACCAATGACCAGTAACATGTATTTACTGCCACTTATGCTCCAGACTTGGTTCCAACTTCTTTATATGCATTATCTCATGTCATTCTTACAAAATCCTGGGAAGCATTAGCAATTAATGCCCTACCCCCATTTTACAGATGAAAACTGAGGTTTGAGGTAGATTAAATAACACACTGGGTCACCTTTCAGACTGAAACCTAAGGCTGGCTGCCTCCAAAGCTAACACTCTTGCCTGCTATAGTGCACGAGCTCCTTATAGACTGCACCTCATTTGCACCCTTCAGAAACCATGCCAATGTTACACTAAAGGTCAGCAATGTTGTGGTTTAAGAATTGGCCTAGGAGGGGAGCAAAAAACTATCAAATAATAGCTGCAGGAAAATGCTCTCTTGTAGCAGCTACGAGTTTGGGTAAATAATTGTGTAAAAGTAGGTCCTTTAATCAGAGTGAGAACATCAGTGATTGTGTTTAGGAATACATATATAAAATACAGCCATTATTGGTTTGGATTACATATTTTCATATATATATATATATATATATATGCATACTCTTAGACACATTGCTTTTCAATTCTAAAATTGTGGTCTGACTTTTAACTTGTTTAGGCTGAACAGCAGAAAAATACACACCAATGATTCTCAATGAATTCTGACAAGGACTATGTCACATGATTTCATGATCAGCATTTCAATTTAGACCTTGCTTTTCTCTTTCCTGTACTGGAACCACTAGTGTTTTGTTTTTTTTCTCTCTCCAATTCTCCTTTCTCTCCATTTCTGTTTTACATGTGACAACAAGTAATTTTACCCTTGGCATATTCCCTGTATCTATACTTCTTTACTATTAAATCTCATTCCTTTTCCTGGTAGAATTTTTTAGTCACCAAAGCTAATCTTATATAGAAACTTTAATGAGGTATGGCGATATTTTATCAGCATCCATTCTCTAACAGATCATCTGGCTAAACCCATCGGGGTAGTTCTCTATTTCTTGTCATGGGCATGTTGATCAATGGTAGTCAGTGACATATTAGAGGAAGTTTCTTGGAGGCTTCTGGAAAAAAAAAAAAAA